ATGAGAATTAAGTATTATATGTACTTGTTATTGTTTGTGAATGAATATATAAGTTTTTTTTGTGTGAAAATTTGTGTTATGTTTAGCCTCGAATTGAATTGAGTTATAAAGAGAATTTTGAGAGAGAGGAGAGTTAAAGGAGATGAAAATTATTATTGAAGTGTTATAAGACCATTTAGGGGTGGTATACTTAGGCAAATAGTGCATTTTAGTTAATTTTAAAAAAAACTCAAAAATCGTTCACTGGCGCCTAAGCACCACATATCACGCTTAAGCACGAGCTATCCTGAGTGGTAGGAGCCTAAGCACCACTTATCTAAGATTAAGCACCAGTTCATGATAACCATTTTGCAAACGATGAAAAAAGAAATTTGAGCTGAAAATCGCCATTTTCACCCTCCTGTCACCTTCAACCTCTCAAAATTGCTATTTTGGAGAGCTAGGGCAAGATATTATGTGGAGATTTCTTGGTGGAATCAAGAAAAATTTGCTAGATTTTGATTTCTTACGGTAAGAGCTTTACTTCTATGCAAAAATTTTGGATTTTCACCATCTATTTTGAGTACATTTGGAGAAATTTGAAAATTCACTATTAATCGTGAAAAATGAGGAAAAATCTATGGAAATTGCATAGGATGTGTAGTTTATGCTTTTGTATGTTTAGTTTAGTAGTTTAGACTTAATTTCTGAAGTTATTTTGGGAATTCCATAAAATTTTAGAATGGCACAAAGAATGAGCCCTTTTGATTCAAACAAGTTTCTTAGTTTGAAGGCTCAGGATTGGTACAGTGAAGCGTTGCAATCATAAAAACTTATCCAAGAGCTTTGTTTCAAGAATCCAAGTGGATCTGAAGATTTGATTGTTCATCGACAGTGGGAATGATTATGTTTTTTTTCTATTGTTCATGTTCTTTCTGTTGTTAGGGAGTTTTATACATACCTCCCTGAGGTTGAAGATGATAGAGTCATGGTTCAAGGAAAGTTGGTACCTTTTTCACCTGAAGTAATAAATTTGTTCTACCATTTTCCACAAGATACTTTATGTTTTTATGCAAATAATAGTCTGACTGAGACGGAGCTAGATGAGATTATTTTGTATTCAATTTTTAGAAGAGGACTCTAGAAGATCACTAATGAGAGGAGAGTTAATTTCCCCACGTCAAAGTTATGTGCAACTTCAAAGGCATGACACTATTTTATTTCTGCTCGTCTACTTCCAACAAATCATCTCCTCAGTGAAATCATCTCAGTGAAGTTACTAGAGAGAGAGCAACATTAAATTATTGTATCCAAGAAGGAAAGCTCATCAACATAGAAGCTTTGATATATCATATTATCATCATTTCTGCCACTACCATTACTACTGTAGGTCTAGGATTTGCTTCCTTGATCTTTTTTATGTGTGAGCAGGCTGGAGTAAAATATGATAGCTGGGAGGAAGTACTATTACCTCTAAAGCCCATCATAAAGGTGAATGTGAAAACTTGTTCTGGACATTCTATTTTTGGGTGGAGAGGAGGATTTTCTAGGACTTTTGGAATGGAGATGTTTGTTGCTTCTACCTCTGCTGCTTCTACATGTATACCATCTACCTCACGTGATTCTACTCCTAGAGGTGAGTGTAATGAGACCCAAGATAAATTATTACAAAGGATGATGGATAATTCTAACTGTACCACAGATAGGGTACAAAATTTAGAACATTTTGCAGATCATACTGATAGGTATAATAGGAGAAAAAGTGATTATGAAGAGAAATTTCACTCATCTTTGGAGAGCCTCAATAGGGGTAAGTAAGGAGTGCAATTTCCTCCATATCCTAGATACCCTGATTATGAGCCTGCAAAAGTTTGGGATAGCAGTGATTCAGGGGATGAGGAGTAGAACTAAGAGATTTATTTTTATGTTTGTAACATGATATGAACTATTTCGTCTGGGCTTGCTACATTTGCATCTGTGTGTTGATTTGAACTACGTGATGTGGTTTGGACTTTTATGTTTAAGTGAGATTTATGACGTGATGTGTTTTTATGTTTTGAACTTGAGACATGTATGTTTGTGTACTTGTTTATACATTGTGACGTGTGAGATGTTTATTTTTAATTGTATTGTGATGTTGTGTTTTGTTAGTACTTTGTTTTAAAATGCCGAGGTAGTAAATATTTTTGTGCGTTTAGAACTGTGTTAGTTAGTTAAGGATTGAACTTAATTCTATGTTTTGCGAAAACTTGAAAATCTTGCTAACTTTAGTTTTAAATTTTAAACTTAGAAACTACTACCCTGTACTTTTCTTTTATCATATTTGTGTGTTTGTCTTTCTGGTAAAACTGTGATATCAAGTTTAGTGTGTTTTTTTGTTTTTATGTTTATAGCCACTACTTAAAAATCTATTAAATCTCTACATGTTGAATTAAAATGAAAATGAAAACAAATTTTGATCAAAAAGAGGGAAGTAAAATTTGATATTAGAAATGAGTAAGAAAGTTTAGTTAAAATTTTGAGTAATGAAGAAAAACTTTCAGTTAAAAATTTTTAGTGTAAAAAATGTTAAATACAGTGTAACTATCTATAGTAAGAAAAATTTACATTTTTGAAAAATTTAGAAATTTCGACTTTTATTTTTAATAATTAAATTTGTTTTATTAAAAATAAATTTCAAAGTTATTATTATATTTATAAGTGAAAGATTTATATCAAGACATTTCCTCTAGGAAAGGAGAAGTAGAATTCAAAACCATTAAAGGCGTATCCAGATATAGTAATCCTTGCGTAAAAAGGAAAACAAAAGAAAAAAAAAATAAAAAGAAAAGAAAAGAAAATGAAAAGAAAAACAAAAGAAAAAGAAAAAGAAAGAGAAAAAGTAAGGGAGGAGAAGCTTGAGGAGTAGTGCCTAATAAAAAATTAGTTTCACATCTGATATGTTTAAAATATCAGACTTGAGAAGCTCTGAAGCTTATGGATATAATATAGTAAGTAAAATTACTCTTAATAAAAATTTTTAAGTGGAGATAATAAAAGGACTAAGTTCTAGATTTGAAGAATCTACAATATTTCTTAATTAGATAAGAACTCATATTTTCATCTTTCTTAACATTAAATATGTCTAAACTTTAAGTTGGTATCATTTACTAAATATTTTTTTTCTAAATTGGACTACTAATTACCTAAATCTAAATTTTACTAACTCCTAAAAAAACTCATATACATATCATACTTACTTAGTTTTTAAAGATTGAAGTGTCACCTGAGGGAGCGCTTTTTCAGTCAGGAGACCTGACGGTCCGCATTGTACGCTGACCAATAAAATTTTGTGTGGAAAATGTGAGACCCGCTTGTCCACCTAATTAAAAAAAAGAATTCGCTGAAGGCCGACCCGGCCCAATGTATGAGCCCACGTCTCTTCGAGTACCCCGCATTTTATAATGTCGAGGAAGACGATTTGACAATACTCTCCGGTTGTTTTTCTTCTACGTTTTCGTCGCTCGCTCTGTTAGGGTTTCACATTTCCCTCGTTTGCTAGCTTCAAAGCCATGAGACGATGGAGTTTGATGATCCGGAGTATGCCCAGGTCGAAGAGGCTGAAGGATGAGAAGACAGAGGTTGAGCAGCCAATGAAGTCAAAGAAGTAGAGGTTATTCTAGTGTTTGATATGTTACTGCATGTTATTGTTGATGTATTGTTATTTTGTTAGGTTATTCCTGGGTTATTGTTGATGTATTGTTATCTTGTTAGGTTATTCTAGTGGTTTTGTTAGGTTATTCCTGGGGTATTGCAAGGTTATAGTTGAGTTATTGTTAGGTTATTATTGGGGTAATGCTGGGTTATTGTTGGGGTATTGCTGTGTTATTCTTGGTGTATTCGTAGTTTACGGTTGATATATTGCAGATACAAATTATTTGGAGAATAAATGTATTATCTGTTTGATATATTGTTATTTTGTGCAGGTTTATCTTGCAGTTGAGGTATTGTTAGGTTATTCCTAGGGCATTGCAAGGTTACAGTTGAGTTATTGTTAGGTTATTCTTAAGGTATTCTCAGGTTATTCTCAGGGTATTCTAAGGTTATTGTTGGGGTATTCTTAGGTTATTCTCAGGAGCGGGTATTGTTAGGTTATTCTTGGGATATTCTCAGGTTATTCTCGGAGTATTCTTAGGTTATTCTAGGGGTATTGTCAGGTTATTCTTGAGGTATTCTAAGGTTATTCTCGGTGTATTCTCAGGTTGATCTTGGGGTATTCTAAGCTTATTATTGGGGTATTCTCAGGTTATTGTCGGGGTATTCTCAGGTTATTCTTGGGGTATTCTCAGGTGGGTATTCTCAGGTTATTCTCTATTCTCAGGTTATTCTCGGGGTATTCTTAGGATATTCTCAGGGTATTGTCAGGTTATTCTTGGGGTATTTTGATGTTATTATCAGGGTATTCTTGGGCTATTCTCAGGTTATTCTTGGGGTATTCTAAGGTTATTCTCGGGATATTCTTAGGTTATTCTAGGGGTATTGTTAGGTTATTCTTGGTGTATTCTCAAGTTATTCTTGGGGTATTCTCGAGGTATTCTCAGGTTATTCTCGGGATATTCTCAGGTTATTCTCAGAGTATTCTTAGGTTATTCTTGGGGTATTCTCAGGTTATTTTTGGGGTATTCTTAGGATATTCTCAGGGTATTGTCAGGTTATTCTTGGGGCATTCTAAGCTTATTGTTGGGGTATTCTCAGGTTATTCCCGGGGTATTCTCAGGTTATTCTTGGGGTATTCTGAGGTTATTCTCAAGGTATTCTTAGGATATTCTCAAGGTATTGTCAGGTTATTCTTGGGGTATTCTAAGCTTATTGTTGGGGTATTCTCAGGTTATTTTTGGGGTATTCTCAGGTTTATCTCGGGGTATTCTTAGGTTATTCTAAGGGTATTGTTAAGTTATTCTCGGTGTATTCTCAGGTTATTCCCGGGGTTTTGTAAGGTTATTATTGGGGTATTTTTAGTTTACTCTCGAAGTATTATAAGGTTATTGTTGGGGTAATTTCTTATAAATATGCCATTGGCATAATCTATGTCTTGTGATTGGAAGATAATCAGCAATTGCTCTTGCCATCGCTTGATCCTGATCGGTAAACATTGGAATTGGAAGTAAACATTGGAATTGGAAGTAATTGCCAACGAAAGCAATTGCTCTTACCATTATACGAATGAAGGTTTTTAATAACCGCTTAAATGATTCTATCGTCTCGTTAGATAAAAAACCAACTTCGAATAGAACATTGTGCCAATGGTGGTTAATCCCAATGAAAGGAGCACAACATAAATTATACTTATTCAAATAGTAGCTAGTGTCAAAAATGATGACATCTCCAAAACAATCATAATCTAGTCTGCAAGACCCATCACTCCAGAAAAAGCTTGTAAGTTTGCCCTCCTCATCACTTTGGAAATCCCGTGCAAACATGCTATCTTCATTTTGGCGCTCCATGAATAATTGTAAGAGAGAGTTGGCATCACCCTGTTCAATTCTGCTTCTTTTATCCCTTTGAATGAAGCTGTATGCATCTTGTCTAGTATACTCCAATTTTTCAACACCACCAACCTCTGTAGCAAGTAAATTGAATGAATCAGCTGCTCTAATCCAAGAACCTGTCATTGATCTTAGTAAATTTGCATTTAACTCGCTAATCCTCTGACTGGAACGTAGAAGGTGATTGTCACCGGATTCCTCCAAGGGGTGGTTATGACTTTCAAAAAATTTCTTTAAGGTCTAGTTGCCATCAAGATCAATAGCATAGCGAACCATTTCTTGACAGCCAGTCCGTGTATCCGCTTTTCTGTACTTCACAGTAGTGGCTAGCTGAGATTCTCTTTTATGACCTGATTTTCCACTAATATAATCCTTCGAATTAATTTGCTTAGATTTAGCCCAGTAAGTTGTGTGGTCCTTGCGTAGAGTGAAACCAACATAATGTGCATAAGCACAATAATGTTTGTAAGCCTCTTCCTCATCACGGACAAAAGTATTAAGAAAGCTACGAGCAATTGGATCATTGCAATCTGTTTCTGCCCTAGATATCTACAAATTTAAAGTATACAATAGAGATAGTCAGATAAATAACCCTAACCAAAGAGTAATGATGGAATAATCTAACGACAATCGAAGATTCATAGAAAATTTCACTTTTTCTAGAGATCTGGTGGGTTACTTTCTCGGGTTATTCTTAGGTTATTGTTGGGTTATTATCGGGTTATTGAGTATTTCTTCAATCAACCCGATAATAAATAACCCTAAACACTAAATAATGATGAAATAACCTATCAACAATTGAAGATTCACACAAAATATCACTTTTCTTAGAGATCTGGTGGGTTTATGCACAGGTTATTCTTAGGTTATTAGTGAGTTATTCTCGAGTTATTGAGTATTTCTTCAATTAACCCGATAATAAATAACCCTAAACACTAAATAATGATGAAATCACCTAATAACAATCAAAGATTCACACAAAATCTCACCTTTTTTAGAGATCTGATGGGTTTTTTGGGCAGGTTATTCTTAGGTTATTGTTGGGTTATTCTCGGGTTGTTGAGTATTTTTTCAATCAACCCGAAAATAAATAACCCTAAACCCTAAATAATGATGAAATAACCTAACAACAATCGAAGATTCACACAAAATCTCACTTTTTTTAGAGATCTTGTGGGTTTATGCGTAGGTTATTGTTAGGTTATTGTTGGGTTACTCTCGGGAAAATGGAAAACGGTTGAAGTAAGTAAGAAATCTTAGCTCCATTTCAAATACGTTGACATTCATTCTGTCAGCATGTGCTCAAACTCTTCATTAAAAGAGAAATGTATCTCCATCATAAATGCAGCGACCAAATCCTAGCTGAGACAAAAAAACCCTTTTTGAGAACTTCTTTTCTACTGAATAATGCAGAATAGAAGTTTCTGAGGGAATAATACGCAAAAAATAAGCGAGAATACGCTAAAAAGGTGGGATAATACGTAACATTTTGCATGTCAGGTTGGGTCAGGCTTAACACAAAAATTTTTCATTTTCATGACGTGTAAATATGGGTCCCGGAAGACCAGATGACGTCTTTTGGTTGGATAACGGACGTAGTGCACCGTATGGGAACCTGAGGGAAACATTTCACCACTTGAGAACAAGTAACATTTTACAAGTAACATTTTAAGTTTGGGTTTTAAGTTTGGGGGATGTTGATACACCTAAAATATATAGTATTTTTAAACGCATTTTTATACCTATTTTTGAGATATTGCGCTTTAATGGAAGGTTGTTGTGTGTTTTACTTTCAAGTATTAGTAAAAAGGTTAAAAATGCTAAAAGCAGTGTAAAAGGATCAAATTTGGAGCAAAGAGGTGAATATT